TGCATGGGTTAAACGTTTCGATGGAAGACTAACCTCTCGTTTAATCCGTGGAATCAAAACGCTGTAATTCTGACTTGAGTTTTGTGCTAATTGTTTCGAGTTTGTTCTCTTTTTCTCTCTAATATCAGAATTATTTATTGCAATTGTAATTAACTTTTATGTTGTTAGATTTCAAATTAAGACTCGATTGATGCTCTAATTTGATAATTAATATGAATTAGGTTAAATGATTATTTGATTTAATTCATAGCTCTATTCAATTAGGTTATTCGATTGAATTAATAATTGAATTGAGTGATTGTTCAAACGTAGATTTAAATCTTTAAATACTGTGATAGTTAGAGTTACACACAATTGGTATTCTGTGGATTGATATTTCTTAATTCATTTTTCATTCACTTTAATTTTGTTCGTAATTTAATTTGATTAATTACAATTTTTAAAACCCCAAAAATTTTATTTGTATTTTTTTAAAAAGAAAACCTAAAATTGAATTTGACTGAGAATGTGTCTCTGTGAATCGACCTAGATTTGACTCTATGCTACAAAAATTTTTAGAAAACTTAGTTGTTTTGATAGCGACTCGATAATCGTCTATCAAAGTCTAAAATACTTACACAAAATTCTAACTGTATAAATTAAATAATCTAATGGTTAAAAAGTTACCTCTTTTAGATTTACACATGGTATGATTAGCTCCTATCCATATATATATATATGATACCAGATAACCTGAAGTGGATCAAAGGATAATAAAGTAGACTGAAAGGAAAGTAGGCAGTAGCAGGACTACTAAATGAAATGCAGAATGTAAAGTGCAGAAATTTAAAATAGTAAGTTTAAAACATAAGAAACTAGAACGGCGGTAGAACCGGCACAGATCTAGTAGAGGGAGAAGAGAAGAAAGCCGGACGACGGTAGTCCGAACAGAACCGGCTAAAAGGGAGAAGAGAGAAAAATAACAAGAAACAGCAAACTTTTATTAAGAACTTGGAGAAAAGCTTACAAGAAATATTCTTAGAGCACTTCTCTCTAGTTTCTCTTTCTCATGTTGCTTAATGAAAAGAGTACCTCACAACATGGTCGAGGACTCCTTTTAAAGAAAAATTTGAGTACTATTTCTACAGTTCCGGTTGCTGACTGGAATTATTTTCTACAGTACAGGTTTTAAAGTTCTTGGATGTCAATCCTGAAGCAGTCATCTTCATTTTGATACTCGTCTTCTATATTGGCATCTTGTTTTGTGGAGGATTCTCCTTCTTCTTGGCTTTGTAAGAGAAGAAGAACATCTTGCAAATTTTTCTTCATTTTCTCTTTCGAATCACAGCTTGATAAAAAGGCTGCAATCTTAGATTTCTGGTTTAGAAATTGGAATATTGCTAGATCTGCTAAATTCAATAACTTTGGATTTTTGCCAAAGTATTGAGCAACACCTGCTAGACCAGCATGATCAGCATTGAATTGATTCCACCATTTTACGAAGGAACACCTGTGAAGCAATGAGAGAGTCTCTTCGTTTTCTGTTTTACCGTATCGATACTGCCATGAGAATACCCATGCCAAGGCAAAGTCAGAGAAGTACTTAAGATCTTCCGGAATTCTTGATTCTTTCAGATACCTGCCCCTATAAATTCTGTATCCTTCTTTGACAGGTGTAGGAAGGATTTCTTCGATTGGCCCAAAATAGTCCCACCATTGGAGAAATTAGTTTGGAAAGTCATAGCTCTGGTTTTTCTTGAAATAAATTAACCAAGAATGTCGATTAAGTTTGTTCTGGAACTAGAAGCTTCTTGTCCAAACATCAATATAATCCCAGTAATTATATCCTACTGGGTCGAATGGTTGGAAAAACTTTTTATAAGCATTTAAATTTTTCCCAAAAGCCTTTGGAGTTAAGACTTTCAAGATCTGAATTGTAGAGTGAGTTATGATGGTAGGATCTTTTTGATCTTTGTAGTGTTTAATGGTAACAGAGTCTGAATCCACTAAAATAAATTCATAAAATTGTCTGGTTTTGTTTACCGCATAAGGTCTAAAATGGAATCCAGGTGGGAAAACTTTGGGAATAGCTTTGTAGGAATTTTTATCCCAGAATTCAGGTTCCATTTGTATGACTGAGGAAAATTTTCCTTTTGCCATATAATGGTTTGGGTTTGAAGGCTTTTGCTTCTCTTTATGGAGGTTAAGTGTACCTTCTGTTTTTTCTGGATTGGCAATGTCTGCCCATGATTTCTTTGGTAAGCTACTCAAGCTTCCTTGTTGGACAGCTAGGAGTGTGCTGATTGGCAGAGCATAATTTGCTTTGGTTTGTTTGGTAGTTTTTACAGAAGAATCAATCTTTTTGGAAGATTCTTTTGGAGCTCCAGACTGCTGAGTTGATGACTCAACAATTTGGATTGCCTTTTGAGTTGATGACTCAATAGGGGTAGATGACCCAGAAGAACTGGATTTTGACCCTGTCGAAGCAGATTGTGATTTTGTTTTGTTTAAAGTAAGGGTAAGCCTTACTCTTCCTCCTCGTGATGTTCCACCCCTAGATGGGTTATTGCCTTTCTAGGCATTTTATTTGTCCTGTAAATATTCACGGGTAAGATAATCAGGAAGGGAATTGAAAGTGCCTTTGAGATATTCTATGTCAAAATAAAAAACACTTAAAATTGCTTGCCATCTTGCAAAAATTTGTTTTGAGGCAAGATTTTTAACATCTTTTTGTAAAATTTCCTTGGCAGACTTGCAGTCTACTCTAATAAGAAATTTTTGATTTAGTAAATCAGATTGAAATTTTGATATGCATAAAACGATTGCTAAAACTTCTTTTTTAACAGTTGAATAGTTCTGTTGTGCAGAATTCTAATGTTTTGAAGTATATGCAATAATATGCTCATGCGACTCGATTCTTTGTTTGAGAATGTCACCATAACCTATGTCAGAGGCATCAGTTTCAACAATTTTGAAAGCTTGAGGAATAGGGAGATAAAGACAATTTATCTTCCTAACTCTATTTTTAATTTCTTTGACGACATTGGTATGAACATCAGTCCAAGAAGGAGGATTCTTTTTAAGCCTATCATGTAAAGGCTTAATAATATTGTTAAGGTGTGGAATAAAGTCACCTACATAATTGAGACATCCTAAGAACCTTTGTAGCTGAGTTTTATCTAGGATTCTATCAGGAAATTTATCAGTAAACTCAATGGATCTGCTGATAGGAATGATAGTTCCTTGATAAATATTATGATCAAGGAATCTAATATTGGTTTGAAAAAGATTTATTTTAGACTTGGAAACAGCAAGTCCATTCTGTTTGATAACATTGATAAAAACATTTATATGCTTAAAATGTTGATCAATGGAATGAGAAAAGATTAAGACATCATCGATATAGACAATGAAAAATTTTGAATAAGGATTGAAAATGTCATTCATGATCTTCTGAAACTCAGAAGGGGCATTTTTTAGACCAAAGGGCATAACATTCCATTCGTAATGCCCGAAGGGGACAGTGAAGATAGTCTTGTACCTATCACTTTCACAAACTTGGATATGCCAAAAACCAGATTTCATATCAAATTTTGAAAAGATCTTAGCAGAGTTTAATCTATTAAGAAGATCTTTCTTATTGGGGATAGGATGTCTAATCCACTGGAGAGCTTGGTTAAGAGGTTTATAGTTGATAATTAACCTAGGAGTACCTCTTTCTATTTCTGCGGGTTTATTAACATAAAAAGCAGAACATGACCAAGGACTCTTACTCTTTCTGATAAGGTTTTTGTCTAAGAGATCTTTGATCTCTTTCTGACAATAATGGAGGAGTTCTTCATTCATTTGGATAGAACTAGCCTTGGTGGGTATTTGGCTATCCTTAAAACCTGACTCATAAGGAAGACTAACAATGTGTTTCTTCCTATTCCAGAATCCATTGGGCAAGTCAGAACATATGGAAGATTGGATGTTATCTAAAAGAGATTGGATTTTCTTCTGAAGTGAAGGATTTTGTAATTATTTTTCAATGTTGGCAAAAGAAACTTCTTTTTTCAGAAAATTAATTTGATTGATTTTGTTTTGAATGGAATTAATGTTTTTAGTAAATGGTTTATTAGAAAATTTGAAAGTTATTTGCTTCCCTAAATGGTAAGTAGAAATTCCATCTTTCAAAATTTGAAGCGGGAAGAGAGCTTTTATAAAAGGTGTTCCCAAAATAACTTCATTTTTTAGATTTTTTACAAGGAGAAAGTTTGTTTCAATCTTAAGTCTTTGATTTTCAATCACAGCTTTAGAAAGCTTATAATTAATTTTAAGTTTCGAACCACTAGCAGTGCTGAGTTTTTCAGAAGTTTTTTCAAAATATTTTGTAGGGATTAAACCTTCTAAAATACAGTTTGAATCAACACCTGTATCAAAGAGGGCTAAATTATCAAGAACAAAATAATCAATAATGATTCTAATATTAATGTAAAATTTTTGAATTTTGACCTTGTTGATCAAACACATAAAGGTTTCTTCTAGATTACCAGAATCGACCTTTACAGAATCATTATTTTCCAGAGGTTCTTCCTTCTCAATATCAGATTCATCACCTATTTGGGAAAGAATAACTTGGTGAATTTGTTGTTGCTCTTTAATATCTTGATCTCTTTCTTGAGATTATTAATCTCAATCTGGAGATCCTGGATAGTGGTTGGTTTAATATTAGAATTCTTTTCTAATCTTTTGAAAATATTTGTAATATCAAATTTATTCATGATAAAATACTCTTTGGGTTTAGGTCTAGATTCTAAAACCTCTTTGAATTTATTTAAAAATTCTTTTCTTTCTTGAAGATCAGAAATGGAGCTTATTGCTTCAATAAGAAGATCTTGTTCTTTTGTCAAAACATTGACTTCTGGAGTATCATCACTATTAGAAGAAGAAATTTGATCATCGTTTTGGATTTGGTTGACATTTTCGTCAGATTCTTTGGCAGAATCTTCCTCTGAAGATTCAATAAGGAGATTGTTGATCTAGTCTTCTATAGAAGGCTCAAGGTTGAGACTGCTAATTTTCTTTTTCAACCTACAGTACTTACTGATATGACCGGATTTACCACAGTTGTAACAGGTTACGCCTGTTCTGGATTTTTTGGGAATATTGATGGGGATAACACTTTCCCCTTGTTTCTTGGAAGGGGGTTTTCTATTGTGCTTCTTCTTGTAGGTTTCAACAGTCTCTTTCTTAGGAGCTTGTTTCTTCTTTTTGGTGGAGCAAGATGGAAGACCAAATTGCTCGCAGAAGGATCCTAAATCCTTCTTATTCAAGGCTCTCTCTTTGGCAAGCTGTTTCTGAAGTTTATCCTTTTGACAAACTTTAATGGCATTATGGATGATAATGGTAGTAAGTTGACCATAGTCATAACTGTCATAATTGATCTCTCCACTAGGGGAATTACTTCGGAGTTTACTCCTAATAAGATCTCCGAAAGATTTTGGAAGCCCATCCAGATATTTTTCTTTCCAATAGGCTTGGTTACAGTCTTCTCTAGTTAAGACCCTAGACATAAAGGTATCTTTATACCACTTAAAATGTTCTAAGGATTTACACCTCAGGTTGGAAAGAAGCTCACCCGACCTTTCTCTCCATAAAGAAGGGTCACCAAGGAAGTGTTGGGAGATGGTGTATAACAAGGTATATACAGCATCAGGGAGGTGTTCATTATCGCTGACAATGGTTTTACCTTTGTCGTCAATTTTTACTCCAGAGAGGATATTTTCTCTATCGGCCTTAGTGAGATAATTATCCCACCACCCTTTGAGTTGGCCAGTGAAACCTGCAACTAGAATATAAACAATTGTGTCTTCAGGCATATTTTGATTGGTAAAATATCTCATAGCGACAATAGATATATTTTGGAGTTTGTCAATGATATTATATTCAGATAATCCATCGATATTCCAAATATAAATATCATTAGAATTAAAACTTTGGATAAAATCATGTCTATCCTCAAGAATGAGATCAGGAGTAGTGGCTCTATTGTAATAGAGTTTGGAAGGGTTTTTCTAGTTATTTACTGGATTGATGGCTAGAATGGAATCTGTTTCGGAATTTTGTTCTGACTCAGCTTTAGAAATGACATTAACAGTTTTGGCAAGAGATCTAGTCCTTGGTTTAGCGCTAGACTCTTCAGAGGCTTGAGGAGTATCAGGAACAGTAGTGAGCAGATTAGTAATCTTACTGAGTAGCTCATTCTGATTGTCATCTATGGCTTTGGTCTTTTCTTTCTGTCTAAGTTCAAAGATTTTCTGTTTAGCTTTGGCGCTAATCTTAAAAAGTTTGAACAAAGGTTTTTCTAATTGAGGTTGGGAAGAAGAAGAAGTTATATCTTCGACTTTAGATTTAACGGGATTAACAGGGATTTTTTCTCCTAAAACCTGAAGGTATTTGTTTGTGTAATTGGCCTATTCCATGAGGCCTTGGATATCGTTGGGAGTGATAGACTCATCAGGATTTTTGGTTTTGAAAGGAGTAGCAGTAACATGATTACCGCTTTTATCTTTCAGGTTGGGTAACTGATATTGAGTACTAGGTGATAGTTCACTCTGAACTATTTGTCCATCTTTGATCTGCCAGGATATGACATTAGCAGACGAAGTGCTGATAACATCTTCTTGCCAGGGATAATCAATATTATTATGAATGGTATAAGCATGATACCATTCAAAGAAAGGGATATTTTGTTTTACTTTTTTGAGAAATTGATAGAATTTCTCTTGAATATCAGACCTGTCTTTTCCCCTATACTTCTGAAAGAACCACTCTCTTTGAGGTTTCCATTCCTCAGAGTAGAAATATTTCCTAAGGGTTTCCTTATCTATAATGAATTTATGAAATAACATCATAAGACTCATTAAGGGAGGAGTAAGTTGGAGATTGGATACTCTGGTTTTCTTCTTCCTTTTCAGAGGTCTGGTAGACATTTCTAGGAATCCTAGAAGAAGTATCTAAACCCTGAAGATTTATGGAAGGGTCATGATTAATGGACCTGGGGATATCAGATCTAACATAGGATCTAGAAGAAAAAGATCTTCTAGCAGAAACAAAATCAGATCGATTGTTGTAAGCATCAATCTTTGAGGAGAAAGAGTTTCTCCTATCGAAGGTTATTTCAACCTTTCCAGAATTATCCTGCGAAATATCTTGTATTTGAGGAGCAGGTCGGGGAATACTGGGTGAGGCTTTATCCATAACCCATTTTTCTGGGAGAGTAACCTCATCCCACTTGATGATTCTAGGAAGAGAGACGTTGGCTTTCGTCATATCAGTGATAAACAAAGTAGTCTCACCTCTTTGTGGTTTAACAAGGACTCTAGAAGCACAAGAGTTCATGACCTTATACTGAATCCTATAAATAAGAGTTGCGGGAATAGATCCCTCTTTCATATCTAGCCCATGAAAGCAAATGTTGAGAAACAAAGAGTCTAGGATGTGTTCATCCATAAGACTCACCGTCTTATTAGGAAAACAATTAAAATAGATCGGACCTTGATTGAGACTAGTTTCAACTGTTCTTATAAGAGAATCATCAAACTTATTGTGACGGATATCTCTAAAACATATTAAGACAACAACATCGATGCCTATGTCTATCAGAGGTTTGATTGCTACCTGAACACATCCTATGTGAAGGTATTTGTATTTTCTTTTGTGATCATTGAGAGAGAATTTAGATAGGAGATGAAATTCTTCTCCTATACCTTTACTTAAAAGGATATTATTCTCAACAGTCTTGATAATGTAATCAGAACTATTTTTTTTAGATTGATCTTCAGGAACATATAATGTATCTTGAGGAATGACTGGGATGGTCCAGTCATCCATACTCTGGTTGATCTCTTTGAATCGATATTCTTCGTTGAAGAGGTTATATTTGGGTGTGATTTTATGAGGATGTTTCTCCTGATCATTAAAAAGATTGGTTTTGGTAGGAGAGGAGGAAGATGAACTAGAGCCAGAACAGAAAGAAATGCAAGAGAAAGAGCGCAAAAGTCTAGACATCATAAAAATACTTCTGGCACATCACCTTCATTTGGTTCCGTAACAATATACCTATTGATTATTTATAACCATGTTCTTCTGGATCTGAACTTTAAATTTTATTTATGAAATTTCTGTAACCATGGTTTATAGGCTGGACAGCTGACAGGCCCTTGACACATGTTGTGTAAGTAGTGTGTATGACCCTGCAGCTAATGATTTTGTATAAGGTGACTAGGGTGTTTCATGTGGCAACCCTTAACAATGATTTTGTAACATGACAAGGGTGTTTTAAGTCTAATCTTGATTCCCCTCTGCTTCTTCCTCCACTTGGCCTCCTTAACGAATAAGTTAACAACTCAACATCTGAAACAATTGAATTCTGAATTTATGTATTTGAATAGAAACAACACAATTACAAGGAACAACTTGAATGATAATGAATTCTCAATGAACAATTACACGAAATCAGTCAATTATCAATTCAAGAACAAACTAAATACAAAATAGAATCTGAACCTCAAGAAAAGTGCAGGGAAGAAAGAATAGCAGAGAGAGGATACATCAATCTTTAACCAACTCCCTTCTCATGACACAAAATTAGTTAAATACACATTTTTCTTTCTCTGCTTATTGGTTCTCCTTAACTCCACTTTTTTCGGATATGGTGCCACGTGTCCAACTGCTATAACTAACTAATTCTGATTCTTCATTCTCCTTTCCCGCGCCGGCTTCGCCTGTTACAACATTCAAATTCATCCCAATATTATAGCAACGTATTTGTGAGTATTGCCATCACAAACATCCTTCTTCATTTGCTTGTTCAGAAACTCTTGTATCGTCTACTCAAGCCTTCACTCCTCCAACCTCTACATGCATAAAAATTGTCTGTCTTCTTTTTCCTTGCCTTTGTCCCTGCCCCATGCAGCAACAGCCCAAACCCTCCCTTCCCTCCTTTTAGTTGCACCAAAGCAAAGATGTTCTCCGGTAAAAAGGACGCGATTTGCCAAAGAGATGTCGGGGTTCCGAGATGATCCTCTAGCTACATGACTCAACATTAAGACCATGTGTGCATTTCACTTACCACTTAATATTTCATATTAATGTTTTCTTTACTGAAACTATAGTTGACTTTTCTAGATGCTAATGTGACTGATAGTTTGTATTTATGGTGGATTAATTTGAAAACTATTTTGGTGAAACTTTAAAATAATGAAACCTAATAAAGTGATTTTTTAAAATAAAATATATATTATTTTAGAAACTTAGAAATTAAAATTAAAATTTTAAAATAAAAACTAAAATGATAAGTCCTTATAATTTAAAATTATTTTTATAAATGTTTAAAATGAGCTCTAAAGAAGAAGTTAGCAAAAGACTAATTTAAATAACTAAAATAAGTTCCTTGAATCCCCTGGAAAAATGGATAGCAACGATGGCGTATTAAAGTTTGGGTAAGATGAAATTCCCAGAGACGGTAATATAGTCCCATTACGTCACAGGACACAATGGGAAAACAGAGGCAGTGAGGAAACGCAATGGGAGCAGCGGCGATGGCGTGGGGAACTGCGGTTCCCTCCCAAACAACAAGCATTCCCCAGTTGGGAGAAAAGCCGAAAAGAGTGATTCTGGAACAATGCAAGAGCCGAAAGGACCTTAAACAAATCCACGCCCACCTCATAAAAACGGGCCTCATCCTAAAGCCCTCCATCACCGAAAACCTCCTGGAATCCGCCGCAATCATCATTCCCAACGCCATCGACTACGCCCTCTCAATCTTCCACTCCACCCCTCACCCACACTCCTCTGCTTACAACGTCATCATCAGAGCCCTCACTCTTCACCACTCCCCTCGCCAAGCCCTTCTCTTCTTCCAACACATGTCCAACAACCTCGTACCCCCCGACCCATTCACCTTCTCCGCACTCTTCAAAGCCTGTTCCAAACTAACCTCGCTTTCCCAAGGCCAGCAGCTCCACGCTCACGCCGTCAAGCGCGGTTTCCTCTCCACCCCTTTCGTCCTTAACACCCTCCTCTACATGTACGCCGCCTGTTCCTCCCTCGACCTCGCGCGCCGCGTCTTTGACCAAATCGCCGTCAAAGACCGCTTTGCTTGGAACTCCATGATGGCTGGTTACGCCAAAAACGGTTACTGGGACGAGGTTGTTGAGTTGTTTGTTAGGATGCGAGAACCGTGTGTTGACCGTGATGACGTGGGGTTTGACGAGGTTACTCTGGTTACGGTTTTGACGGCGTGTGGTAGGTTGGCCAATTTGGAGCTGGGAAAGTGGATTGGGGAATATGTTGAAGCTAATGGGTTAAAAGGGAACCTTACTTTGATGACTTCGATGATTGACATGTTTGCCAAGTGTGGTCAAGTTGATAAGGCTAAGGTGTTGTTTGATGAATTGGAATGTAGAGATGTTGTTGCTTGGAGTGCTATGATATCTGGGTATAGTCAAGCGAATAGGTGCAGTGAGGCTCTTGGTTTGTTTAGTGAGATGCAAAGGGCTAAGGTGGATCCTACTGAAGCTACGTTGGTTAGCGTGCTTTATTGTTGTGGGGTTCTTGGAGCTGTGGAAATGGGAAAATGGGTTCATTTTTTTGTGAAGAGGAAGAAGCTGAGGCTTACTGTTACTCTTGGGACTGCACTTATTGATTTCTATGCTAAATGTGGGTCTATAGAGAGTGCGGTTGAGGTGTTTGAGAAATTGCCGATGAAAAATGTGTATTCTTGGACTGCGATGATTCACGGGCTTGCTAGTAATGGACGGGGAGCAAGGGCTCTGGAGTTCTTTCGTTTGATGAAGGAGGCGAACGTTGAACCGAATGATGTTACTTTTGTTGCTGCGCTTTCAGCTTGTAGTCATGTGGGTTTGGTTGAGGAAGGACGGGCTCTTTTCCTCAGTATGAGCAGGGATTTTGGAATTGAACCCGAGATGCCGCACTATGGTTGTATGGTTGATGTTCTTGGTCGAGCTGGGTTGATCGATGAAGCGCTTCAGTTTGTTAAGAACATGCCTATTGAGCCAAATGTAGTGATTTGGAGAACACTGTTGGGTTCTTGTAGGGCACATAAGAATGTTGTGGTTGGTGAAGAATCATTTAGACGGATAATTCAACTGGAGCCAGCTCACAGTGGAGACTACATTTTACTTTCCAACATTTATGCCTTGGTGGGGAGAAACAAGGATGCTTTGAGAGTGAGGTGTAAGATGAGAGAAATGGGGATTAAGAAGTCACCTGGTTGTAGCTTGATTGAATTGGGAGGGGTGGTTCATGAGTTCTTTTCTGAGGATGATGAGCATTCTCACGCAGAAGAGATATATAGAGCAACTGAAGAGATGATTAAGAGAATTAAGTTAGCTGGGTATGAACCAGACACTGCAGTGGCAAGAATAGATGCAGAGGAGGAAGATAAAGTAATTTCTGTATCTCACCATAGTGAGAAGCTGGCTATTGCGTTTGGTCTTATCAAAACTCAACCTGGGGTTACCATTAGGATATCAAAAAACCTTAGAATTTGTATTGACTGCCACAACGCCACAAAGATAATATCCAAGGTGTATAATAGAAAAATTATAGTTAGGGATCGGAACCGTTTCCATCATTTCCAAGAGGGTTCGTGTTCCTGTAATGATTATTGGTAAAACAAAGTATCTATGTTGTTGTACAAGAGGATTATTGGTGCGTGCCCCCTTTTCTGTGAAGGCTGAAGCACTGCGACTTGTTTCAGTTTGTTTGTTGTTGGGTGCGGCTAACAGTAACGAAAAGGGAATGGCGGATGACTTATGATCCATCTCTGGAAACACCATTGGTCAGCAAGATAATAGATATTTAATTAATGGTTTCATGAATAATTTGATAAACTATGGCACAGAACTGCGACTCGGGGATTCAACTGAGAAAATTGTGTTATTACAAGTTATATTTTTACACACTTCATGTTTATATATGCTGTTGAGTCCTTATCTAAAAGAAGGAATAGAGGTTCTCTTACAGTAAAGAAAGGAAATGACAAAAAAACATTTAATAACAAAGAATAATGTTAGTGAGACCATAAATGTCGCAAAACATAATAGTATAACTCAACTCAACAGCAAATAATTATGCTATCATAGGAAAAAAAATGCATACAATATATCTTCTGAAGGTATCATGTTATAAATAAGCATATATGCGTTAACATGTCTATTTTTAACACGAACTTAATCATTTATAATAATATGCAGAACATTATGCATTAAAAGATGATCAACAACTTTTTTAAAATAACGAGCCTAGTACTTTGCCTAATATTTCTATAAGTAATTTATGTGAATACTCTTACTATTTTAATTTCTAAATTATTATAACTGTCACTTAGCAAAATTTATGTGTCAACAAATGAGTTTAGAGGAAGTCATAGCACTATTATTGACTGAATTGAAATCAACAATTTTGATAATAGGTAAATTATTTTAATTCATCCACAAATAAAAATTAAACTTGGAAAATATTTTTACCAAAAGAATTATAATAACTTACTAAAATCAAATTTGGTTGTGAATAGCAATGTCATTCTTTTCGTATTTCTTTTATCATATTTCAATTTTTTACTGTCTATAGATAATGGTTAAAGTTAGTAAACTATTAAGTATCAAAAAGTTATTATTTTTTATATTGAAATTTTTTCTCCGTAACATGATAGACATAAAATGAGTTTTTATCCCTTTTATTTTTATTAAAATTGAGGATATTAAAACTTCATAAGCAAATGTAAGATTGGAAAACATTGATAAATCACAAAATACTAATGCTGAATTTGATAATATAATTGCTACAAATGGTGCAACATCTTAACTAATTTTAGATAATTTCATAATTCAAATATACAATATAATACAATTTGTCTAAAACAAGTGAAAGATATAAATAATTTTAAAATTTTTTTTCTTTATGTACATAATCTGAACCAATAAAAATGAACAAATTTAAAATTTATACTTAGAGTAAAGCTAAATTTGATATAAATAATAATTACTAAAAGTTGTACATATATTTTGAATCATTATCTACAGTATAATTTTTTAAGATATATAAGTTTCAAAATTAATATTTAAAATAATTACATATTATGATTAATTTTAAATAAAAATTTAATCAATATTATTACAATATCTAAATAAATTACTTTGCATATGAAACTCATTTTGCCCTAATTATATTCTGAAACTTGGTCAACTCTTGTAAAATGAACAGTTAAATAGAGACTAAGTAATATAAATCTAGAGTTACCAACGGAACTGCTTCATAAAATTTCATATTTTTTAATATCTTTTTTTTAAGTAATATATTATTATTATTATTAAAATAAAGAATTGAAGTGACCACAGTCGTATCGAGAGGCCTGAATACCTGTACCTCGACATTCAATTCCAAATTTTACTTTCGGCGCCTTTCTCTTTTTTTTTCTTTTTTTTTTATCATTATTATATTATATATTAGATAGATTTCTTCTTATTATTATTAATTTTTTTTTATTTTAGGTCTTAGGCTCAGATAGCTCATTTTTTAAAACAAAACATTTTAGGTTCAAAAGTTTTTTAATAATAAATAAATTTCAAATTGTTTTATTTTCTTTTTCTTTCCAATTTTATTTATTATTTTATTTAGCTATCTTTAATTTATTTTAATGAAATTATCTCATCTTTTATTATTTTTCTTTTTATATTTTTAAATTTACTTTACTTTATTTATTTTATTTTTGTAATATTAATATTTATTTTTATATTTTATTTAATTTCTATTTTCACTTATAAATTATATGTTTCTTTTAATCAAAATCAAATAGAAAATAAATAAAATAAAATAATTTTTTTATTGTTTTATAATTCTTAGATTTTTACTTGTATCTATTTCATTATTATTTTTGGATGTTTGTTCTTTTAGCATTATTTTTCTTTGCTATTTTATATAAATTTAGAATGTAATTTGATTTTATACTCATGTTTTGTTTCTATTTGTTATGTGGATAAACTATATTTTTAATTTATTTTATGATCAATGAATAAATGATAATTGCATTAATTTATAATGTTAACATATAATTTCTCTATTGTCATGTATTATATATTGATATACTTATATTACCTTGACTTATACAATATTAATTTATTATATGTTGTCTTTAATTAATTAGATAATTATTTTAATAATTAATCAAGATGTGTTCCTCTTCTAAATACTAACTTATTAATTGATCAATTTAAATTGAAATTATTTAATTATTGTAACAATTTATAATGCTAATGTGTAACAATTCTATTTTTATGCGCTATAAATTGTCAAAACCTATGTGTACTAATGATGTAACATCTTAAATTTAATTTCAATTTAATAAGAATTTCACAAATTCAAATAACCAATTTTCATAAAATACTTCAAAATAAGAGAAGTGTTACAAATTAATATCAAATGACTGCTACAAGACTAGTTTAGTTACAACAAATTTTTAAAATAAAAACTAAGTCCTATAGCAATCCATCCATCCCTTCACTGAATAAGGTGCTGATCGTCTTGATTACCTGAAAAATAAATGTAAGGGCGAGTACTCTACACTACCCAAAAACACACAATAAACGTAGAGTCTCACCACTAGAATATTTCCAATACATTAAACAAACACAATCACAAGCAACATTTCACATTCACAAGCACAACACACAAACTCGTGCATACGCACAACAGCCACATTCACTATAGCACTGTGATCACAGATTTACACCATGAATGGTCGTCGGTTACCCCTGCCTCACGGATACCACGTGGGCAGTCACGAGTCACTCAGCAAGGATAGTGGTCAGAGGTCTAGTCAGGAAGAGAGTGTGTGGCCTGTGATGCACCCGTTCCACAGTCGGTGTCACCACCACTCCCTCTTCCCCAAGGTATTTCTACTGTCCTCATCTCCCACACCCCCAGTGTATCGCTGAACCATCCACAACACATTACAACGGCGCTACACACCCCATTCACATACATTTCATTGACACACGCATATTCATGCTTGCACATGGCACACAACCTATATTCAATTCATATTACACGACACATAGCCCACATTTTATCCACAATATATGGCACATAACCTTCATTCATTCACAATATCATTAATCCACCAATCAATGACATTCTATCACACACAATCACCCTCACGGGCCTAACTATTCCAGCACACATCACATTGCATACCAATTTCTATCAAACACACAATACCTACTCTCTATTTCAGCTATATTGCATTATTTTCATTGAAATATACAAGAATTACAATACATTGAGATAGGGTAGAGTCTCCCCTTACCTTGAATTGAAGACCTACACACTAAATCCACCAAGAAATGTTCTCCCTCATGGATTTTGGCCTTAAACACATGGAAGAACTCCAAGAAACCAAGAAATAAAGAAATAGGGATGAGAAACGGAACGTTAACCATTAAAACTCACCTTCAAGCGTTCCCCACATGGATTCAACCTTCAATCAAGCTCTCAAACGACTTTGAAGGCAATTAATCAGTGGAATAGGGCTTTAGGAACGAGAGGATCAAAGGAATTTCGAAGGCAATTAAATCCTTTAGGCTACAGCGAGATCCTCTCACTACAGCAAGACTACACCTAGAAATGCACCATAAACTGTCGCTTTCTTGCTACAGCGAGACGTCTCTTGCCGTAGCGAAAAGGCGACAAGTCTGATCCTTCCTCCCAGGGCCCTCTCGCTATAGCGAGAACAGCCCAGTATCACGCTCTGCACTTAGACACATAGCCTATTTCAGTCCAACCAGTCATGCATACACCCATCTACATATATATACATATTCACAACATATATCTAAAAATACACACGTGAATATACATTTAGATTTATATAATTATCAATAATTAATATTACAAAATTCGGGACGTTACAAATGATACCTTAGGTTTTATACACTATCAATATATTAAAAATTTTATTTGATTTCTAAAATTAATCAATTATATTTTTTTTATTAAAATCTATTATTTAGAATATTTTCATCATATTAATGCAACAATTTATAATATTATTGTATAACGCTCTACTTTATACACTTTATATCATTAAGACATTCGTGTACCAACATTACCTTAAGTCTTATACAATACAAATTTATCAAATGAAGTTTTAATCTTTTTATTAAATAACTATTTTCTTTAATTAATTTAAATATATTTATTTCTTGTATTAAATAAAATTAATTTCATATTTTAATTTTTCTTAAGTTATATTTCTAATTTTGATAAATTAAATAGCTAATCCTTTCTTTATTTTTATTATACAAATTCTTGCAACATCAATATGTGATTTACATTACCTTTGATTGTACAATAAATTATAAGAAATTTATGTATGGCTTACGCTATCTTAAAATTCTCTTTTAACATGAATTATCATTTAAATATACATTCAAATATTTTATTTACAAATAAAAATATTTTTTAAAGATTTGTAATATAGTTGTGTGATCTTTCTTCACTCTCCGTATTGTTTCTTGTAGAATACATGTATAACTGCGTTATCTTGTATCCTAAACATTATAATCTTATAAAAATAATTTTAATTTTAAAATAAACTTTCTTTTACTAAATTTTA